TTATTTTAAGCATGTTTAGTTATTTTCCTTGTTTTTATTTTTTTCAAAGATTTGTCAGTGGCTACTGCTCTTTAACCCGGCGGATGGATCCAACGCTGGGCTGCATGCCCCCCCACTCAGCGTACCTCCTGTATTTGCCCCTCTCAAGCAGGTACTGGCACCCCCTGTAGTTTGGGTGCTCAAAGAAGATCCAGGCTCCTTCGAACACCTTGCAAGAGTGGACATTGTTGCTTTTCCAGTTCTCGGGGAAGGCAGGCAAGTTGTCTGCCATCTCCATCGACTGACCTTCAAAGTTTGGCTTTTCCCAAACTTTCAGCTTCCATGAATTCCCCACCTGGAAGGAACAAATGAAAGAATGGGAATGTCTGCATTGTTGGTTTCTTACTGTATTATATTGTGAATTGATTATACACCATTCACACACATATATAGTCACCTACATTTCGAATAATTCGACAGGACCTGATGGAATCGTTGATACCTAGCCAATACTGGTAGTCTGGATACTCTCCTGGGCTTAGCACGTACTGGTAGCCCATGTAGTTTGGTCTTTCATAGACTACCCAGAATCCTCCCTCCACTCTGATGGAGTTGCAGCGGGGGAAGTAGGTGTGCAGGTCACTGCAATCATTGTCACACTCGTGGGACTGACCCTGGAAGTTTTTGTCCTCGTAAAAGATGATCTGAGAAAACAAGTTTTGATGAAACGTTGCACTCACTGAACTCTAGGAAGTGGCTGTTATGGTAAAACAAACACATTTTGTACTCATTCATCTCAAAATACGGTATAAGCATGAATCATATTGCCACAAACATGTGCCTGTCTTAAACATACAGTACCTTCTCCATTGTCGATATCAACAGGTTTGGTGTGATATGAAACATTAAAGCAGCCACCTCCTATATTCACTTTATACAGAACAAGGACAATAAAACTAAGCACATGGCTTGCTTTCTGTGAACTGGATTATTCAATCACTGATTCAAATATTTATCCAGGCTTATCACATTGTTCTGAAGCAGTGAATCCTGTTTCCCTAAACAATGCAAATGCACAGTGCAAAGCATCCCAAAGCCACTGGATGCAGCAGAGCGTGCTGACAAAAACAAGGGCACTGCAGGACAGTTGGTTTGATATGAAACGTTTTGAGCTGAGTCAGTGACACAGCAGGAAGGCACCAGAGACTCTGCTGGAGATATTTATACACATTTTATAACTAATCCATATTATAACAAGTAAGCAGTAATTTGATCAATCATTTACCCCTAGCGTTCCTTTCCATGGTAAATAAGCTGATTCCATGCACTGTTCATGATGCAGGGAAAAACTCCCATTTGAAACAATGCATGAGGACACAAGTGATGGTCTTCAGCACGACACTGTGGTGAAGGTTAGGTAATGTTTAGGAAACAAGCAGGATTGCATTTAAAAGGAACCAACACAAACAAAAGGTGATCTCCTGTTCCCACCCTGTTATTAATCAGAACCTTAACTCCACACTTAGTCATTTCCACACAAACAAATGTAATTTGATAAACTTCCTTTCCTTTATTGAATCATCAAGGCAGATTTTCTTTTAAATGTAACAAGCAGATTGCCACAGCTTATATGAACATTCATGCTCCCCAGAGGGTGAACTCCCACACGATGACCTTCACCTTTAAATCTGCCACCATAAGATCGCTGTTGTTACTGAAGAATGATCCAGATTCCTAAAATAACAATAACAATGTTTTAAGTATTGCCCTTCTAGTAATGATACAACTCATCATTTAAAGGTATCCGACATTAAATCATCAGTACTGAATTACCTTCAGCAGTGAAACTACTGGTTTCTTTGTACTTTGTCATAGTTGCTCGGTTCTCCTGCTTCTTTCCCACCCGAGAGATATGTTATCCTGCTTAAACTAAGATCAGGATGCTCAGCCCGTTAATACAAGTGCATAGTTTTCTTTTATAATATATGTATTTATATACATACACGTACATGACATATATATATGGCATGGCATGGAGTTGTAGTGTTGTATTTACACCAGAGGTCTAACAAAGGAGGAGTCTATTGCAGATTCCTGAACTTTGTGAAACTGCCACACAAAAAGTCTTCACATCTTTAAAATAACATGATTTAATAGTTCTACTTGGTTTTCATTAATGTATTCATTCTTCCAAATCGAGCTTGAGGCACATTTGATGAAATCCACAAGGACAAAGTCAGTTTGTTTGAGTCATTTATAAGTCATTTATTGATTGTCATGTGCATCACTTTTTCATTATGACTATTAATCAAAACTCTGTGATCCTGCGGAAAGAGCCGACGCCAGGTGAAGATGCCCCCCAGTCGCCGTGCTGCCGGTACTCGCCCCGCTCCAGGAGGTACTGGTGCCCACGGTAGTTGGGGAGGTCGTAGAATACCCAGGCACCATCTGTCACCACACAGGAGTAGGCCTCGCGCATCTTGTAGGTATCATAAACCGATGGGCAGTCATCAGAGCACTCCACCATCTGCCCACCAAAGTCCGGCCTCTCGTACAGCCTCAGCTTCCACGCACTACCGTAGACCTGCAAACACAAGCAAAGCACAGTGTACTCGGTGCAGATTTACACTGCCAACTTTGGAGCAGCGTTTTCATTTTATGGCTAGTGTTATGAAAAATCCTGGAAATTCCTCCCAAAGATAAAAAATACATGTGCAGGGTTTCACTCTAGGCTATCAGCTCACATGGGCTTACATTTTTATGATGTAATCTCTTCAAAAGCTGGTCTTTGGCTGCTATTGCACTGTCAATTAGACTGGTTTAAAGCACAGACTGATTAAATCAAAACAATGAGCTTAAAGAGGCTAAAATGTTCCGTCAAACAGAAAGAAATTACATTTCTTACATACATTAATCTTTTTTTTCTTTAAGAAAAAGCTAAAAGTTGCTGCCAGTTGTGCTTCCTATTGTCTACTTGTTTAGTCTGCTGGCTTAACAGTGAGCACCCAGCCTGGACTGGTGCCCTTGTACAATGCTGTCCTGCAGGGACTGCACAAACACATTTCCAGAAGCAGTCTATGTGAAACCTCTGTTGGATTTTGTGGTTGAAGGAACTTGGGAAAAAAAGGGGGGAACTTACATTTTTGACGGTACGGCAGGATTTGACATTGTCGTTGAAGGCCATCCACTGCTGGTTGTCGGCGTACTCCCCTGGGCTGAGGACGTACTGGAAACCCTTGTAGTTGGGTTTCTCATAGATGACCCACACGCCGCTCTCCACTCGGATGGAGCTGCAGCGGTTGAAGTATGTGTGCAGGTCAGCGCAGTCGCTGCTGCAGTTGTAGCAGCGACCCTGGAATTTCTTCTCCTCAAAAAATGTGATCTGTGGAAAACGTACGCTTTTAATAAACCCAAGAGGAGGAAGAGTCTTTAAACGCACACTGATCGCAACAGGTCTTAGCTTACCTTCCCCATTTGGATGCACTGTAGACCTCATTCTTTGCTGCAGCCCCATCAAAGTATTTAACGATAAACAAAATGTGCAGAGTGTGGCAAGTCTTTGATACCCAAATGAGGTAGATTTACATATCAGCAAAATAGCTTGGAGCTGTTTGATTTGCCTTTGTTCTGGCCTGATGATGGCTCTGTATCAAACACATGCTGGAACAGTGAAGGCAGAGGATCAGTGTTAGACTGTGAGGGACAGAAATTATTTAACACTGTTTAATAGTAACTCCCTTTAAAACAAAAAACAAAAAAGTGAAGGTATTATTGAAAATTGAGGTATTACTGCAAAAAACCTATGTGAACATGTAACTAAAATGGCATTTTTAGGCTTTTATTTTCTATTTCTGATCCTACAGGAAACAAAAACCTGCCTCATGTAGTATTTACTGGTTTAAGTATATGCAGATAGACTCAAAATGTCTTTTGGACTACTGTTGCAAATATAAAATGCATACATTAAGGCCTGTTCTGTGCAATTTAGAGTGTTTACATTATGTGAAACTGTAGAATATTAAATCTTTCTGTCTAGTTTCATTAAATACAATAGAGCTTTTATTTAGTGATGATTTGGTTAAGTCCATTAGGAACCTTCAGACTATATATGTAACAGCTTTAAAGTAATTAAACATCAATACATGCAAGAAATTGATCAACTATACTATACTATAATGTACAATCTACTCAATAAATATTTAAGATGGACACAGGGGGGGACTCTGCACTCCACAAGTGGCCTTAGCCAATTTGGCCATGTCACCTCCAAAATACACAATATGAGCACTTGTGCCTCATATTGTTTCTACTTTCTATTTACTCCAAGTGCTTCAGTTTTAAGGCACACACTTAATGGATCACACGGGCATAAAAGAGGGTGACAACCTTTTCAAACAACTGATGTCCTTCATCTTTCTTTTCCTAAACCGTCTAAAAATAAAGAGGTGAATCCTTAAAAGTCCACCGAATGAGTCCTTTTGATTTTATCTCCTTGGATTGTTTTTTATTTTTCTTCTTCTTGGGTTCTCAGTCTTGGTATAAGCTTGGGGGGAAGTTTTCCTCGTTCTTGTTTGGCATTCAGCATGGTTTGCTCATTACAAACCCACTACACTCACATCTTTTGATTGTTTCAACACGGTTCTCTGTTCATATCGTCTTTTAATTTATACACAGCACTTTGTGACTTTTGTCTGTGAATGGTGCTATATAAATAAACTTCACTTACTTATGCTTTACAGTTTCCCTTCTTCCTAAAGTCTTTGAGTTTTAGATACAAATAGAAGTCTTATGAGCTTCTAGTTCTGAAATTTACTGATAAAATAAAACCGAACTCTCTCAGTATTCAGAATTCCTCATTATTTCTGTTTGGGATGTATTTCCTAATAGTAAATCCTCTCTCAAATACAGAACTTTGAAGCATCTGTAAATGCAGTTAATCTTCAAAACTTTCTAACATATTACTTACAACTGAATTTTGACTTATCAGTATTTACATTAGAAAAACCAGGGGTGTGTCTGGATGGGATTTCAGCTTGCTTTATTATTATTCACAGTACATTTGGAGTGTGTGATTTTGAGTTAACAGGAGTCCATAATGCGCCTGATGGAGCTGAACTTTGTGATGTTGCTCCCCATCTCTCTGAGGTTCCTGTACTCTCCTGGCCTGAGGTACAGCATCCTGCCTCTGAAGCCGGGCTGCTCGAACATCAGCCAGTGACCGTCCATCACGTTGCAGGACTGACAATCAGACATGTGAAAACGATCCATTATGTTGTCGCAGTCGTCGCTCAGCTCGTACATCTGGCCTCCGAAGTTCTCCCTCTCGTAGATCCTCATTCGGAAGGGGCCTCGGTGCTGTGGATGAAGAAGCAGGATGACTGTGGCCTGTAAGTCTATAAAACTTATCTTTAGCTGAGAATGTAAATCTAAAACTACATCTTGGACAACATAAAGTAGCAATATTATTAAAAAAATTTAATATAAAATTAGCATAAATAGAAATTTTAAAACTATATTTTAATGTTTCCCTCCATTCATCTTCTTCCACATTTATGAAAACTTTTGCTGCTTCATTTTATATTGCCATATCCATGGGATCTGGAGGTTTTCTTCTCTTTCATTTAGGACAGGTGATTACACCTGAGCAGGATGGTTAAAGAAGGCTGGGAGATATGGATGACTTCTAGTGAGCGAATCCTAAATTTAAAATATTATACATGCAGAAAGATAGGACTAAACAGCTAGGCTCAATTTTTATTTCAATATATTTCACAGTTAATTACAATTTTTCTCCTGCATGCAGGAGGGCAGCCTTTGTGCTCAGACAAATGTTGACCAGATGGCTGTTTCTTTTTAGCTTTTATTGTCACTGGCCTTCTACATCTACATATTTAAAAGGTCTCTGTCTTGTCCTTTCTGTTGTGGCTGGGCCCCGAATGCAGCTCAATGTCATCCACCTACCGTGGGGATTATGCGACTGGATCTTATGCAGTCGCTCATGCTCATTCCCATCAGGCGCTGGTTGTCTGGGTATTCTCCTCTCCTCACCAGCATCTGATGGCCCATGAAGTTGGACTTCTCATAGACCATGAAGAGGCCACTCTCCACCCTGCAGGAGTTACACCTGCTAAGGTAGGACGTCAGCTCTGGGCAGTCACTGCTGGTTTCATAGGAGCGACCCTGGAAGTTCCGGTCTTCATAGAAAATGATCTGCAAAAGAGAAAAACAAGTGAAGTATATGTAAATAAGCAACCTGTAAACAGCTATTTTGCATATTTGTTATTATGAACTCGTGAAGTTTAACTTTAAAACTTCCTACTGTTATTGGCTAAGTTTCACTTACCCTCCCCATGGTCATGGTTATCTCAGATACATCTCATCAACATCGACCCTTTTCCCTTTTTATACATTGCACAGCTTGTGCTGAAACCTTTGAGTCATCACTCTATATTGTGGCACAGCAGCACTATAGCGTGGCAGACTGTATGTCCGATTCTGCAAATAGGTATTGTGATAGAAATTTGGGATTTATGCTCCCTTCCAGCAACTTCTACTATTGCATTCATCTCTCTTCTGTAAAAATCGATGTAGTATGAACATCAGATCTGTAGATGAGACTGAATGTTGTGGTAACAATAACAGTATTAAACAAACTCTATTGAGGTATACTGTGAAATGTGAATGCTGTGCCACGTGAACCTCATGATGAGTCAGGATGTTTCACACAAAGGTGAGGAAGGTGGTCTCGGGCTCATACTGTATATAAAAGTGGCACGGGTTGGCATCAGTTGGAAAAAAACCAAACCGTCACCATGGGCAGGGTAATACTTCTCATTTGCTTGTATAGTGCTAAAGAAAAATCTGACAATACTGAACAATTAAGACTTGTGGAAACATCGCAAGAGGGTTAGAAATGCAAAGCAAGTCCATCCAAATATTAAATCACCACTCTGTGGCGCTGTCAGCTTACCACCTCTTTCCTGTTTATTTTTTGCAGATCATTTTTTATGAGGAGAGGAACTTCCAGGGTCGTTCCTATGAGTGCAGCAGTGACTGCTCCGACATCCACATGCACCTGAACCGCTGCAACTCCTGCAGAGTGGACAGTGGGTGCTTTGTGGTGTACGACCACCCCAACTTCATGGGTAATCAGGTCTTCTTGAGGAGAGGAGAGTACTCTGATTTCCAGCGCATGGGAGGCATGACGATGATGGATACCATTCGCTCCTGTCGCATGATCCCCATGGTAAGACATTTTAGTGGTTGTAGATGGTCTGTACCATTTCATGTGGGGATTGCACAGACACTCCAAAGTCCAAAGAGGTAGCTGCTAGGTCAGCTGGACCTGGGACAGACTGCATTTCTCATGATTCGTGTCTTTTCCCCCGCTCCATTAGCACAGGGGACAGTTCAGGATGAGGATCTATGAAAGAGAGAACTTTGGAGGCCAGATGCACGAGCTGATGGATGACTGCGAGTCCCTCCAGGAACAATTTTATATGTCTGACTGCCAGTCCTGCAACGTGCTGGACGGCCACTGGCTGATGTTCGAACAGCCCAATTTCAGAGGGCGCATGATGTACGTGAGGCCAGGAGAGTACAGGAACCTCAGAGACATGGGAGTGAGCAACATAATGAAAATCAGCTCCATCAGACGCATCATGGAAATGTGCTGATTGTCTGTCCGTTCACAAGAAACTCTGGGAGAAAAATAAAAAAAATGAAATATTTTTGAAGTATCTCTTTCGCTTCATGTGTGGAGTCAAAGATGCAAACGTCATGCTTTATATCCTTTAAGATAAACTTCTAAGTTTATCATAACCTTACAGCCTTAATCAGGAATATTTCCCATGGCATTTGTGCACATTCAACAAAATACTAAATGCCATCACAACTTTCACACCAGCTGTGTTAGAGCAGGGGTGTCGAACTCCAGGCCTCGAGGGCCGGTGTCCTGTTTTAGATCTCACCCTGGGTCAACACACCTGAATCAAATGATTAGTTCATTACCAGGCCTCTGGAGAACTTCAGGACATGTTGAGGAAGTAATTTAGTCATTTAAATCAGCTGTGATGGATCAAGGACACATCTAAAACCTGCAGGAGGCCTGGAGTTCAACACCCCTGAGTTAGAGGTTGGATCCCTCGATTCAGCATCATCACTTAAACAGTTTCTACTTAAATACTTATGTAGCAAAGCGCCGCTGTTGCTCTGTTGTTATCTCAGTTATAGATAATTGACGTGGACACAAAGATAACATATAAAAATGACCATGATGGTCTAATGTAAACGCCATTTGTAATACAGCACATCACAGCATCACCGAGCTACTTTAATGCTCCGTATTGGCTATAATCAACATATCAATCAAAATATTACTACAGCTATGAGAAAAATAAACGTTCCACAGGACTCTACACAATCGTTTTAAAAATGAAGAACACCCCATGATTCAGCGGCAATAACTTGAAGTAATTATTTAATGTATGACTTTATCAGTCTCTGGCATCATTGTGGAGGAATTGTGGCCCACTCTTCTTTTTAGTGTTGCTTTAGTTCCTTTGTTTATGCATTTGGTTACGCATCGTTCTCTCAGTGTCACACCACAACATTTTCATCAGGTTAAGGTCTGAACTTTGGGTCTTGCAACACCTGCATTCTTTTCTTTTTCAGTCATTCCTTTGTACATTTAGGGGTGTGCTTCAGATCGCTGGTCCTCCTGTACTAATATGTTAAATCCTGTGCAAAAAAGAGTTTCCATGTAAAATTACTGTCAGATTTATGACACATATGCACTGGTGACTATGAGTTTACCTGGAGATGAACTGAAGAGAGTGGTGACTATGATGTAGGAGGGAAGGGAGAGAAACCTAAAATATTAGTGTCCAATGGTCCAATGGTTCAGAGGTCCAGTGAGTAATACAGAAATGGGAAATCTTTCCAAAGTGTTTCCATAGGAGTGATGATCATTTATGAATAAATAGAAAACATTGGGTTTGGGTTGAAATAGCAGGGATGGTGATGATTGTTTCCCTGAGACAGTCAACGTGGCTCAAGTGAAAACATACAACAATGAAAAAATGAAAAACCTTTGGATTCAAAGTTAACATGAATAAAGACAAAATAATTTACAAGAAAAATAAGAAGAAAGGAGGAGGAGGGAGAGCACGTGAGCATGTGAGCTGTCAGTTGCAGAGACAAAAAAAAAAAAGATTTGCCAACATCAGTCAGATAAAGCTAAGAAATACAAGGGTAAGAGATGCATCCAGTAATGATAGACGTTATTTTTAATAAAAGTAAAATTAGGTAAAGAATACCAGATATTTAAATTAAAAAGGTTCAGTCCTGATAAATCACTGATGATTTACACTCACACCTGTGCATATGCACTGTTAATAAATGAAGGCTAATGAACTTTGACAGTTTTAGCTGTCAGATACATGAGCTCACCTTTGACTAAAATGCTTTCAATTCAGTGACTGCAAGTTGGCCAGTTCCTGTAGCTGCAAAACACCCAAACCTTGACTGTTGGTTTGAGATGTTTGTGCTGATATACTATGTTTGGTTTTTGTCACATGTGTGCATTATGGCTTAAACATTTCCACTTTGGGAGATGCTTGAGCCATACTTGTTCAGCGTTTGTCTAATTGAACTTTAACATTTGACATGCTAACCGAAGCCTGTAGAGTCTGAGATGTAGCTGCTTGGCTTTTTGCAGTTTCTCTGAGCATTGCACGGTCTGACCTGGGGGTGAATTTGGGTCCACTCCTGGGAAACGGTGGCATTGTGTTAACACACACCTGAATGCTCCAGACCAGCAACCTATCAAAATCTCTGCTTTTGCATAAGTGCTCACACTTTCAGTGAACAGTCACCCTGGATTGATTAGGCAGTTAAAAGAGTGGATGGATTCTATTGTTTCAGTCTTGCCATAAAACTAAATGCAAAGTCTGTCCTGTTTATGGTGTGGAAAAAAAAGAAATTAAAAAATGCAGCGTCAAGTGAGTTGAGAACTGCACCATTTCGTCTTTCAAATATTGTATATTTATCTGAAAATCAAAGCTTTTTTTCATCTTTAAACACTATTATTCAATGCTCTACAAATATAAATGTGTCCTATAATGAAAAAGATGTTTGCTTTGCCGCCATTAAATCTGCACAAGTTAAATCTCAGTAATTGCAGTGTTCACAGTTTGATGTGTAGTACAGTAGAGACTTCCATACTGATGAGCTGACTCAGTCATTCCGTACAATTGAGGCAGATTCTTTGGATGTCACATGATGCATAAAAGGCAGCGCGCCAGTGAGAAAAACAACAGAAATCAAATCGTGCGACCATGAGTGGAAAGGTAATGCAGGGTACAGATCCCTGCAGCAGCTGGTGTAGGACATTGAACTCTATATATACTGTGTCAAACTCAATAGTATTTTTATTCTGTAACTTCTGCCGTGCAGCACTGTCTGATATGACTTACTCTTACGATAATCTCAGACACTCTGAACACTTTCTCTGGAAATAGTCTCACACAAACACAATTTGTGTCTTTTTCTCTAGATCATCTTCTTCGAGGAGAGTAACTTCCAAGGCCGCTCTTTTGAGTGCGTCAGCGACTGCTCTGAGATTGCCTCTCACTTGAGCCAATGCAACTCCTGCAGGGTGGAGAGCGGGACATTCATAGTCTATAACCAGCCCGACTTCATGGGCCAGCAGTACCTCCTGACCAGGGGAGAATATCCCGAATGCACGAATACCTTCGGCTTCAACGACTGCATTCAGTCCTGCCGCATTGTCCCTGCGGTAAATATAATATAATCATTTGTAAAGACGAGGACAGTCAGCAATGTAAAGGATCAGTTTGTTGAATTCATGTGTAACCCATTAGATGAGAAGTTCAACTTCGTTGTCTGAAGCAGAGGATATGTGTTCTATATATGTCCAGCATATAGCTTCTATCACGCATTTTTATCTCTTTTTTTTATCTCTCTTTCCAGAAACATAATTTATGTTTCTATAAAGCAATTTGCCACAAATGTGAATGTAGCCTACCACAGTCCTTAAAACCATAGAAAACGTGCATAAAGTAACCAAACAGTCTAAACTTGAGCTAAAAAATTGATTGTTTTTGTTACACTTATTAGTCATGAATGAACATTTTGTATCAAAGCTGCTTTATGTATAGATCTTATATATCTAGCCTATAAGATCTGCTACCTGTTAGCATGCTACCTAGCAAGAGCTTAAGGACTTACATTTTTCAAAACAAGACAACTTTCCAGAACTACTATTAAGATTCCCACGTGACACAGCAGCACACACATTCTACAACAAAGTTAGCATATAGCTTATTCCCATTTCCTTTCCAGGCCTAAAGCAATTTTTCGATACCTCTGCATTAGCATTAGCTGGGTACATTTGTTTTGAACTGCAAAACTATGATTTCATTCCTTTAAAATATATACTTTTTATAACTTTTACAGCACAAGGGACTTTTTAATATGAGGATCTATGAAAGACCAAACTTTGAAGGCCAGATGCACGAACTGACAGATGACTGCAACTCCATCCAGGATAACTATCACATGTCGAGCATGCAGTCCTGCAAGGTGATGGAGGGCTACTGGTTGATGTTTGAACAACCAAATTATGAGGGCCGGATGTTTTTTCTGAAGCCAGGAGAGTACAGGGACTTCAAAGGAGTCGGCAGTAAAGACATGAAATTCAATTCCCTCAGACGTATCACAGAATCTTAACTGTCCCATGACTTTTATTTGGCTAAAAGGTTTTGCAGATGGTTTGTTGTATTAATATTAACAAATTGTCAAAGGCAAAAAGAGAAAGCTTTGTTTTATCCTGAAACTGTGATTTGTGCATTGTTTGAATGTAGTTTCAGCTGTAATGTATAATTTACTGTGAACTGACCTCTTTTATTGTGTGGTGCACATAATAAATAGACTGGACACAGATCTGTGTAAGTTGTTTTTCAACTCAGTCCTCAATCAAAATAAATAGCTGATTTACCCAGTCATATATGTATATTCACAGTTCACATATTGATGGTTCTAAATCTTTAAACCCACTTAAATGAATACATTATAATTTTCTATATTTTTTTTATTTAACACAACTTTGCTAAAAACAAGGGCAAACCAGTTTTATATTTTGAATAATCAGTAACTAACACATTTTGGCAATCTTTTTTGATATTTCCGGTAGAACAATTGCTCTCATTTGCATAATATACAACTTTACATACAATACTTACATTCCCTACTTTATTAACCATCTATCATCTATTTTTCAGTTTTCACTATACTGGATAACTGTATTAGGATTACATGAATGGTTCTTCTTAATGTCCTTAAGTTTTTGTTTGATAGAAGGGAAAGTATTTTATAAGGGTAGAATTCTGATAGACCCATTGTTCACTGACTAAGTTACACCAGTAATATTAGTATAGTAAAACAAACTGCCTGAACAAGCTAACCCCTATATGAAAAAGATCAAGTGTGGGTTTTTACTGCAATACAGAAATATGTTTTATAGACTTTACAACTTTGCAAGGTTCTGAGATATGAATAATTACAATGTCACAATAAGCCTCTTGCAGTTAAAATGCATGCTGTACACCATATATATATTTATAGATGACTATAATCATGATTAAGACTATAATCATGCTTTAAATTAGGCAATACTACTTTGACACGATGCTCCTAATCCACAGTATCGACACTGATTCATATGTAAATAAATTAGTAATGATGTAATTGTCATATGACAAGCAAAGAAATCAAATAATCCTAACAATACAGATTGAAATGTATTGATGCATTAATAATAGCACGTTATACTTGCTGTATCTCCATTGCATTAAATAATCACGGAGTGTATTAAACATCGTATCAGAAAAAGCTGATAAGAACCAAACAAAAGCACAACAGACAAGAGGTTATTTAAAACAACTTGTTTGCTGACATAAAAAAAAGCGGTTGAATTGTTGGACCTATAAAAGGCTGCTGCCACTTTGCACAAGGGTGCAGCAGTGGCAGCTGAAAGCAATACCATGTGAAAGATGTTCACTGCAGCTTTTATCACTTTTACAAATGCATCATCTTTGCTATTAGCATTAACATTGATACATTTAATTATACGCAATGTGTAAAATGTGTACCCTAACACACGTGAATGTAATTTGGTGATATGTCTATATACCATCTTTCACCATTCCAGTGTAAATACTGTATATGTTTAGGAATTTGTTGACAATAGTTGTTGGTATTTTTAGTTTAGTTGTGGATTTTATGTGTAGGCCATTAAACAAATGCAAGGGGCAGCTTCGGCTCAGAAAATAAAACAGCTGATTTGCACTGCAGACCTCACCAAACAAAGCACAAGAAAAAAATATGTTCTGTGTGAAAAAGCTGACCAGCCCAGTCATTGTTCTCAATCACAATGACCCAGGTCATCCATGGGTTATAAAGGCAGCCTGGAGCCCACGGCTGCTGCTACAGTGTGACAAAAGTTAGCCGACACAATGGGTAAGGTAAGGATACCTTTTTTTAAAAAGAAAATCCTGTTCCTTTTGTGCTTCTGCATACCTGCATGGACTATTCATCGAAAACCAGTGATGCAGAACCACTTCACGTGTGGAGTTTTTAGCAAAATGTCTTTAATTTAATCAAGCATGCATCCAATTTAACGAAAATCCCTGAATAAACTTCTTTCAGATCATTTTCTACGAGGACAGGAACTTCGATGGTCGCTCTTATGAGTGCAGCAGCGAGTGCGCTGACCTACATTCCCACTTTAGTCGCTGCAACTCCATCAGAGTGGACAGTGGTAACTGGATGGTCTATGAGAGACCCAACTACATGGGCTACCAGTACTTCCTGAGGAAGGGCGAATATCCAGACTACCAGCGCTGGATGGGATTCAACGACTGCGTGAGATCCTGCCGTATGATCCCTATGGTAAGTCTCAGTTGGGCATTTTTGTATTAAAGGTTTCACTGATCTACACTGATGATTGTAATCATCATTTCTGCAGCACCAAGGCACTCACAGACTGATGATCTACGAGCGCCCAGAACTTGGAGGACAGATGATGGAGCTGACAGATGACTGCCCCTCCCTGTATGAACGCTTCCATTTCAATGACATCTACTCCTGCAACGTAATGGATGGCTACTGGATCTTCTACGAGCATCCTCACTACAGGGGACGGCAGTACCTGATACATCCTGGTGAATACAGGAGGTTTCATGAGTGGGGAGGCATGAGTCCCAGGGTTGGATCCATCAGACGCATCATTATGTGAGAATGCCGATGTGAGATATTTCATGTGAAATATTTTAAAAAGTACTACCAATAAACCAAACAAAAGACCAGAGTGGTGTCAGCTGCTTTTTGTTTGTTTTTTTCCTGGTTGCTTAAACTTTTTAGAGTCGTCTGGAATATTTAAGGACTGATTGCTTCTCGTTACCTCTGAAGAAAGCGCCATGAAATGGTCTAAGTCAACACAAACATTTCTTGTCTAACAAACTATTGTTTTACAAGAAGTTTAAATGTTACAGCAAAAAAATGTTTAAACATCAAGGCTGTCTTCTTTTGGATAAAGACATAAACACAAGCAGTTTAAGCCCAGCATATTTATTGAGAAGAGACAAAGGAACAAGGTTCAGAAGGTTTTAATTAAAGTCGGTGATTCGCCTGAGAGAGCCGATCCTTGGACTCGCACCGCCCCAGTCACTGTATCTGCGGTATTCGCCAGGTCTCAGGTAGTAGGTCCTCCCCCTGTAGTTGGGCTGGTCGTACAGCAGCCAGTGGCCGTCTACCACATTGCACGAGTTAATGTCAGACATACGGAAGCGGTCCTGGACGTTGGGGCAATCGTCGCTCACCTCCTGCATTTGGCCGGCCATATCTGGACGCTCATACAACTTGATCTTGTAGGAGCCCCGGTGCTGCAGAACAATGTTTATTAGTCAGACACTATGGAAAAGTAAAACAGTCCATCTAAGACAATCTAATGGAAAAACATCCTTAACCAAAAAGTTCTTCTTCAGTTTATGTTTCTTTTGTGGAGCAGGGACGACCAGATGGTCCCAGCATCTGAGCCAACTGGATGTGGGGAACCAAATATGATGAAGGTTTTGGTCAAACATTAGCTGTCAAGGATTTATATTCTAAAATGTTCCTCAAAACTAAATTTATATCAATTTTATTCCAAGTTGTTTAATAATAATGACAGTTCCTTTACAGAGTTTGTGTTAGAGTTTCTACCTGTTGATCCAAGTCAGCCTTTATTTTACTTTAGCTTCTTCCATTTTGTTACTTTGAGTTTTATTAATAATTTATTGAGCACATACATGTCTTCTTTCTTTGACCTTGCTTTGTACTCCAATAATTCAACAATTCAACATGCCCACTTCTAAATAATATTAACTCATTGCATCTTTAATACAATCTTATGCTTACCATGGGAATCATGCGACAGGAGCGAATGCAGTCATTGATTCCGATCATGCGCTGGTTGTCGGAGTACTCCCCCCTGCGCAGGAAGTACTGGTGGCCAAGATAGTGAGGTCTGTCATAAACCATGAAACAGCCGCTCTCCACCCGGATGGAGTTGCAGCGGTTGAAATAGGGGTGCAGGTCAGCACAGTCGCTCATGCACTCATGGTGCCGACCCTGGAAATTTCTGTCCTCGTAGAATATGATCTGCAAATGTATTTCACAGCATTCGCAAATTTTTAGCTCCTTTTTCATTCAAGCTCCTAGCTCAAGGTTAATGTTTTGCTTTGGTTTTTAATTCTGTATTTTCAGTAACATAATAAACTTACCTTTCCCATTGTTATTTTAGTGGGGGCCCGACTGATGCTCAATAGATGCCCTCTGTGCTGCTGTCCTTTTATATAAAGTAGCTGTGTGATGGCACAGCATAAAGTATTGTCATCCAAATAGGTTTTATAAAACAAATCTGGTTATGTATAGCGACGCACTGCAGTGTGATGATGAGTTATTGTTGTCCACTTTTCACACGTTCATCACTATTGATCAAAACACCATAGTTTGCTAGTGCCCCACGGGTCAGTGATCACATTATGTGCAAAACAACTGCGTCCTTCTCATTCAAATAGATTCCTAACTGTACAAATGCCAGGGTCGGAGCAAGTATTTTTCCTGAATTTTGTCATTCAGGGATCCTGCACGGCTTTGAGGGGCTGAAGGCTACAGTTTTTTGTTTGTACCTCAGGCTGTTTTGGATAATCAATAATTTCTACAACGAAAAATGATTAAATCTTGTCATAAACTTGTTTAAGGGATAATTAAATCTACCTTTACCGTTTTTTTAATTGATTTTTTTATTTATCTAGCCATAATCACAGAACTGCTGTGGCCCTGAGTGTAATGTAACAAATGTTAGAGCTAAATAGCAAATATAGATACACTAAAGCCTCTACTGAAATTGTGAACATCAGTATTTGTGTTTGTATTGACATCAGCATTGCTACAGTGCCTAAGTATAGTGTTTAGCTTGGACATTATGTCATCTTTGCATATATTTCAATCATTTATGGAAACAGGCTACACTGTTGTTGAATTAATTATTCAATTTTTAGGTTTGCTGATGTTCACTGTGGGTTTTTGAATGGAGGCTTTGCAAAGTAAGCGCTGCCGTGTACACCCCCATTTAGGGCCTATGATAACGCATGCCTGTACGTGATGATAACAGAAACACTAAATCCAAATCCTAACATTTTTATGGTATGGGTCCCACTCTGTTTCCATGAAATGGTTCGTGTTGGGGCAGCTTTAGAAAGAAAACTTCAGTAAAGCAGAAATTTACATTACTCCCTGTATTTTCTATTGACATTTTTTTCATGTAAACCTGTTATTCATCCAGTATTATTTGTCAGTTGATATTATTAATAAAGATTACAGCATTGTATATACATATGATACACAGTATTGAGAACAGTTTGTTTACATTGTTTATTTATCTATATAATGGAGGGAAATCCAAGCCAAAGCTTCAGTATGCCAATTTCACTATTGTCCATGTAAGGCCTAAGAGTGACATTATAAAGTATGAAGCAGTTAAAAAAATAATAATTATTGATTAAGAGCCTGGGAGACTGTGTAGTGTAGTTTGCTCCCTTACACTAAGCTTGAACAGGAGACCTTAAATATGATGCTGTTTGCCACTTCTGGGTCACAGAATCTATTTTAATGTGTTGTAATATGTGTATTACACATATGTGAAAGCTTACTTTAAGTTTTACAGCAGGTAAAGCAGATCTTGAAAACTGGAAAAACTCTGAAAGTGACATAAAAACAGTATAATGCTACTTATGCATAGACACACAACTTTTTTTTTTTTTTTAAAACTTCAACCTAAGGTCACGAGACTCCATCTCTTGTTATTCTAATAAGCTGGCATTTTGTTGGCTTTGCCACTCTGCCAAGGCCTTTATCCCATTCATACACATAAAATCCCTGATTCATCAGTGGCAGACTGCTCCATTATTCAGCTGCAATTATCCCATACGGTGGCCACACATATAATGTCTAGAGTTTACAAATCCTTCCGAGCATTTAAAAAACTATATTCATCCCATCTGTGCTAAACTGATGTATGCAGATTTCATATTCATAATGCAAATCCTGTGTTACACACTCAATTTGAAAGATTTGCTCTAAAAGGCACAAATCCTTTGCACTGTGATCATTGCTTTAGAAATGGAAAATTAATATTAAGTCATCTACAACTTCAAAACATTTTAATTTGATATTGTACATTTCAAATGACAGACCTGACTAATAAAGGATTTTTAAGACCAGATAATCTGAAACTTTATCTGATATTTTTTCTTCTTGCTTCTTAAAATATAAAAAACATGCCCCACATTTGTTATGTGTAGTTGTTTATTTACACTTTAAGTACACTTTGCCTGACTGCTTGGAGCAACTGGTTGTTTTGTTTGTGGCAAACAGGGAAGTTACAGAGTGCCCTCTTGTGGACAAACTGTGCAATGTCAGCAATGATAACACAGTTGAAGGGTGTTTCCCCCCCCCCCCATCTCTTCTTTACTTTTATCATTTTCACTTATTGGCTGTTCTAAATCCTGACACAGATACATATGCAAATAGCGATTACAAGCCAATAACATTAATCTACCGATAAATCAGTCTGGCTTTACTTGGTAAATGGTAAATGGCCTGTATTTATATAGCGCTTTACTAGTCCCTAAGGACCCCAAAGCGCTTTACATATCCAGTCATCCACACACACATTCATGATGGCAAGCTACATTGTAGCCACAGCCACCTTGGGGTGCACTGACAGAGGCAAGGCTGCCGGACACTGGCGCCACCGGGCCCTCTGACCACCACCAGTAGGCAACGGGTGAAGTGTCTTGCCCAAGGACACAACGACCAAGACTGTCCAAGCTGGGGCTCGAACCGGCAACCTTCCGATTACAAGGCGAACTCCCAACTCTTGAGCCACGATCGCCCCCACTTGATTTTTTGACCCATTTACTTTAAATCTGCACATTTAAAATGCTGTTATTTTAAACTGTTAAATATTCCCATTTTCCATCCTTTCAGGCACCACTTCAGAATCACTGCCTACAAATGGAAACAACATGGCGACTACACCACAGGAAACATTTATTACCACTGAAGAACTTAAAATTATGTGAGAACAAAACAAGCTTTGGTGGTCATGTGACATTACAGAGCTATTTTTTTTAAATTATTTCTCAGTTTTACAGTTTGCTTTAAGCTTGAAAACCTCAAGCAAAATACAGAACAAAAGCAAAGAAAATGAACAAAGACGATCAGCAACGTCATAAAACCACACAGACAATTTTAAATGTATAAAAACTAATTTGTCTATTTTAAATGACTAAGCACAAATAGCTGGAATTGAACAAATTACTATAAAATTGACTGTTAGATTTGATATAATTCATATTTAAGTTGAAGTCCAAATTTCAGTCCATGAAGGTCATGACTGGACTGTAATGACTGTAATCTTGAGGGTACAACTTATTACTGCACATGAACATCTTCAGCTTTTATTTTGATCAAGTCAAGATATGCTATGAATACTTATGTGTTTTCACACTAAAGTAAATACTTGTTACTGGGATACTTCACCACTGCTACTATTTGTGCCTAAATGTAAAAAAACAAAAAAACAACAACAAACAATACAGCGTAAGAAAAGAACCCCACTGTAACAGTAAATCTCAGTCATCTGACTGCACAACTAGATGAAAGCTTACCTTTATTGTGTTGTAAGGCTGAGGTTTATCAGCTACCCATAGGGCAAAAAGGAAGTGACTAAAATTAGATGTGTAACTCGTTTCTCTTGTAA